CACACTTTACTTACGGTGCCTACTGCTTGCTTGACTCAATTATCTCTATCTTCAATCTATCTATATCTCTTCTATTTATCTACCTATCACACTGGTTTTACTCACCAGGCTTATATATTAAAAAAGAGGGCATCTCGAATGCACTTGGGCTTTCATGATCCTTCTAGAAACTCATCATGTGTTACCAGCGTCACGGGACTTCCGATGTCGTAACAATAGGAAATAAATCTAAATTACCCTTTTATTTCTAGAATGATTTCATATTTGAGCAGACAGTTATGATTGATTATCCTAAATGTCTCAGGCTATAACAGTTTACATATGTTTTCATTTAATTGTATTGTTTTATTGTTCTTTGAACCATGTGTAACTAAAGTAACAAACCAATAAATCACTCGTTAAGAGCTTAATGCTAGTTACAGTTAACATAATATTCAATTACATCACTGGTTGCAGCTTGCATGCATTCCTTACAGAGAATTTTTTTTATCTAATTTTTTTTTTATTTAAGTTTTCTTATCTAACCTAATAAATTTCTTCTATTCTTTGATAGATTGTTTAGGCAGAGTATTCATGATGAAACTTTGTAGAATGGATGGCAATTGCCTGTTGTGGGCGGAAGACTTTCGAAACGTTATAATCTACACATGTGTCTCTATAACAGGCAGTTGCCGTCCGTTCTACAAAGTTTCTTCTAATTTTTACATTTTAGTTGTTTTTATAAAAATATGTCTTTTTTGCACTAATGATGTTGGTGTTGAACAAAATGTTTTGTTTTTTTCAGTTTAATTATACAATTTTGAATATAATGTTTCTTTAACAGTAATATTCCTCTTTATTTTAATCCAATGTACAGGTACTGATCAATGTTATCATAAGGCCCATGACCCAGGCCTATGCATCATTGACATATTAAGTCAATTTTAAAAAAATAGTTTGTTTTTTAATCACATGGATTATGAAGTCATGTTTTCACATTTCTGACATCTCCCAAGATTCTGACACTCTTCAACAGGAGTCATCCAATACTTTTATGGTGACTGGAGGAACATTTTGACTGTCAGTTATGTTACTACCATTATACACCAGGTGGTTGGATCGATTCTTATTTTGGATCAAGGATTACCAGCCTCCTGTTTCTTTTACTTTTGCTGAATCTACCCCTTTTTTTGACGAGTTTCATTGATGTTTTTTCCAAGCCTGTTTTTGTTTCTAGTTACCTTTTCCCCACAAGGTTCAGATAATCACACCTTTGTTCTTCACTGCTTGGATTACACAGCTATTTTTCCTTTCTTTACTTTTTCTCCAGTTGTCTTTTGCCGAATCTCAGGCTCTTTCAGCTTGGGGATCTCCTTTTTCCTTCTTTTTCTCACTTTTACTGTCTATCTAGTCATCTTTGTCTATTAATTACTTAGCTTCTTCATCATCAATCCACACTTCACCTTTTTTTAGAGGCTTTACCTCATAACCCTTTGAGTTTTTTTTGAGGAACTTACACATACCTGTGTTTGAACTTACTCTTGATTTGCTTCTTCCTTTGTGACCCAGTTAACTTGGTTTCTTTATTTCTGTGATGTACTTTGTCATATTGCCTTAATTTCTAACATTCACCTTTCTCAATCTGTCTTCAGAGACTTCTATATTGCACTCTTTCTTTGTGATGTTTCTTGGGAGTGTTTTTATACTTTGGAATTTTAAGTTGATATAGCTTATCGATAGCCATTGACGCACATACATGGGGGTTCAGCTACACCCCCTATTTATGAGATGTCAAAATTATTCTTATGTAGTTATAGTGCAGCTGCTTATGGTACTTAATGATTTTTACATAGTGTACATTTTACTGATGAAGCATTAGGACTTTTTTGGCTTGAAACTTACTGGGGAGTATGTCCCAAGATCTCCATATGTGTTGCCTTTTGATCTCAGAAGCTATACCCCTCCCCCTTCAAACATTTTGCGTACAGGCCTGTGCTCACTTTGGTTGCTTGCCTTTTTGGACCAGGTAGTCCCACTAGGTTTCTCTTCCCTTATAATCCTGTGAGGTTACCCTATCTCCTGTTCCTCTTGTTACTATCCAATTTCTACCTCTTGTTGATTCTGGTTGGGTGGGTGCTCAGCTCTCCCACTTTGTACACCTTTAAACTCTCCTTGTTGTAGAGTACTGGGTTACTCAGTGTTTCCACTCTCCATAGTACAGTTCTTCAACCCAACTCTGGGATTTTATTCCCATCTTTTCTTATCATTCTCATTTGTCATAGATCTGTTCCAATTGAACACTCTTTGGTGCTTCCTCAGTTCAAGATAGATGTTTTTTTCACTCTGCAGTGTGTTTTCTTCTGGGTGTTGAATAACTCAGATCAAGGTTTCAAACACTTTCTCAACCTTCCAATTTGTCGACCACTTTTTGCTTTCTTCAGTTTACTCACAATAAATTGTGTAACTTTGTGCTTTATGACAACCAGAAATAAACAAAACCTATCAACCATTTTCTCCATTCAGGTCAGGTGCATTTCTGGGGTCTGGGCTCCAGAGGAGTGGTTTCATTGTATCTACATCCTCAAGATGTTGACTGGCTGACTTAGCAGGCTTCCCATCAGCTTTTGTCTCATCTGTCTGGTCTTCTTATCATAATCCATT